CCGCAGCCGCGGCCCCGCCACCATGGGGGCCGCCGCGGCGAGCCGGAGCTCCGCCGGGTTCGCCGGCATCCTCGCGGTGAGTGCGCGCGTGTGCGCGGAGCGGGGGTGATCGGTCCGTGCCGTGCGCGGCATCCGCGTGTCCGCGGCGTGGGTGGGGATGTGCTGCAGTGCGGGGCTGTCCGTCCGCGCCTCTGCCCGGCCTGGGGGCAGCGGGGCACCGGGGGCTGTGTTGGGGTGTCCCGCTGACCCCGCTCCGCGTGGCGGGGACTGTGCGAGCTCTGCTGCGCCTTCCCCGGGGGTGCTGCCCGCCACAGCCCCGCAGCCCCGGCTCCTGGTGGGGGACGCCGGCTGGGTGCGATATTCCCTGCGTTATCCATCCTCCCCATCCCCGTGTTAGCGCAGGCGGCGGCATCTCCCAGCCAGGGCTGTGCCGCACAGCCGGAGCTGAGCGGATCCTTGTTCTGTTCTCTGCACTGCTCCGGGAGCTCGGCACTGGACTGGGATCCATCCATCCATCCATCCACCCATCCACCCATCCATCCACCCATCCACCCATCCATCCACCCATCCATCCATCCATCCATCCATCCATCCATCCATCCATCCATCCATCCATCCATCCATCCATCCATCCATCCATCCCCCCCGCCCGCAGCTGCTATTCTTGCCACCCTTTGGACAGGCAGTAGAACTCCTCGCCGCGAATGGCAGGCAGCTGCCCTGACTTATCACGGAAGTGTTTTCCGGCAGCTTTATCTCCCCATTTACCTTCCCAGGTAGGGCACTTCCCAWTCAGCGCTTTAGGGCTACATCCCGTCCATTTGGGGAGAGACAGTAATTCGGTGTGTCAGGCAGACACCGCAGCTGCTGCGGCTGGGTTGTGTAACCGAGGAGAGCACTTGCTCTTGAACTCAAGGTGGATCTGAGCAAGCTGGCGCTGGCTCGACAGGAATCCGAGTAAACAACAAATAATCTAAAGCTGGAAGGGCATTAGCTGGGAAACAGCCTCGTTGCTCTGAAGGCGAAGTTGGCGCAGTGGCGGAGCAGACGGGTCTGTGCTCAGCGCTGGCTGGCCGCTCCCGAGGGCTGGATTCCCACTGGGAGGAGTGAGCCGGGAGAAGCCAGTGCTGCTGCACTTCTGGAAGATGACATGCTGATGGGGAGCTTGAGATACGCGGCTCCAGCTGGGATCCTGGAGGTCAGTTGGGAATGGTGGGTTTAGAGGGAAATGCGGGAAGGAAAAGAGTGAGATAAAGGTGTGGGGAAATACAGCAGCGGTTTTGGGAAATGGAACGAGGCTCTGAGCAAACACGTGTATGTTACTTGTGCATGTGTGTTGTCACACCGGTGTGTGTGGGATCATACAAGCGAACAAGGCAAAATTCACATTTGCTTCTGAGCTGCTAGSATCCTCTCAAGGTTTTTTATCCAATACCTTTAACATTTTGGGCTTCTCCCTTTGGTCACACAAGGAGTTAATGTCTTCCCAGCCTGAGGGAAGTATGTTTGAGGAAAGTATATTCAAATCGATGGCTGGTGGGTCTTTCACTGGTGCAGCAACYCCAAATCTGCCTGGCTTCTGGATTTTGGAGCAGTAGTAGCTTGTTAATGGTTATGTGGGACTGGTGTTGGCTGTGATTTCGTTTGCTTGGTGGATTTTTTGGGATCCCACTGACTGTTGCGAGGTRGTTTCCACCATTTCCCCTGCTGCCCTCGCTTAGATCTAGCACAACATCACCTTACTTCAGCTTGGGGCTTTTGGAAAGCTGGGGGATCTCGTCTGTTTGGAGCATAACCGTGGCTGGCAAGGATGCTTCCGAGCTGTGGTCCTTGCTGTCTGCTGGGTTTTCCTTCATGGAGACCAGATGTGCTGCTGCTGCTGTTCTGGGTCGCTCATCTCCCTGCGTTTCACTCTTGAGATGTAGTAAAGGAGCTGCTGAGCAGTGAGTCCCGGGCTCTCATTTCACAAACCCCAAACCAGCTGAAATAGCCGGTCGTGTTGCAAGAAGCAGAAACTTGCCTTGCTTTTCAGAACCCTCCTCACAGGCAACTTTTTTCGGACTCAGTAATTTGATCCTTTTTGCAGTAATGGGGCAGGACRTTGGCTCCTCCTGTCTGCCGAGTTACCGTAAAACTTCCAGACCAGTTTATTTGTCTTTCTGGTGTTTTTATATGTTTATTTCTTCCACTTTAATGTTGCAAGCGCTTTCCCAGTACTGCCGGTGAAGGGTGCAGCTGACCTCTGGGAAGGGCGGCAGGCAATGCAGCTCATCCCCMGCCTGTGCCAAGGCATTGCCACAGAGCCAGCTGCCATTTCTACCGAATTCTGCTGCTTTTGCGTGGAAACCACTCCCAGAGTATCAGTTTAGCACTGTTGGTCCTTGCTCACTTGCAGGTCTYCACTCCTGCTCTTCTCTACCAGGACCAAATGCCCTGCTTTTAGCTGCTGTTGCTGTTTTGTTTTTGTTTTATTTTTTTTTAATTTCTGCTTCAGTTTTAGATTTGTTAGTGTGTCCCCACAAGGCTGGCAGCAGGGCAGCACTGCGTACAACCTGAGATTATGACAATCTCAGCATTTTAGGACACACAGTCAGAATAGAAAGTTGATTCACCAACTTTTGCTGGTGTTTTGACTCACTGTTCAGGTTTGGATCCCTGCATAAGATGCTGCATTCATAGAATCATAGAATATCTTTGGGTTGGAAGGGATCTTAAGGATCATCTAGTTCCAGCAGCCTTGCCATGGGCAGGAATGCCAACCACTAGAGCAGGTTGCTCAGGTGTTTGCAGCTGTGTTCTCCATGCACATACCATGGCAGTTTGCAGCCCCCGAAGAGCTGTTTCCTGTGCAGATTGTCTGTCAGGTCTCCCTGCAGCACAGAGTTATTTTAAAGGAGTGATGGAAGYACAGCACAGGGGCACCCACTGAGATGGAGGCATCGGTGTGGGTGGTGCTGAGGTGCTGCTGCCTYGAGGGTTTGTTTGCAGCTGAGTGTGAACGTGCCCTTGTCCAACTTTCATCGTGTGGGGGGGGGTCAGAATGATGGTGTCCCCCAGCCTTCTCGTACCATGAAATCTTCATGTGCTGAACTAGGTGAAGGTGGCTGGGAGGTGCCTTTGCTTGTGCAGTGCAGGGTGTTGGGGATGCTCTTTGGGCTTGTGGCCACCCTGTCCCACTTGCCCCTTTTGGAAAGGTACCGCTGTCCCTTTCAACCCTTGTTTGTTCCTGCATTGGGCATGAAGATGTCTTATACTAGTTCTGGGTTTTTTTCTGTGGTTCTTTTTGTTACCCTGTCCACTTCCTTTGGTAAAAGAGTAATGAAATGAAGTGCAGTGGCTCGGCAGAGCTTGCTTCGTTTCTCGGTTGCTTTTTCCACTGGAACTTGGAGTGCCTTCAGAAAGGTTCAGGTCTTTRTGCTGCTGGGCAGCCCTGAGGGATAGGGACCAAACCAGCAGACCCTTCTTTTTGCTGAAGATGTCCTCCTGCTCCTGGTCTCCACTTTCAGAGATCTGAATGCTGAAAAACCTGAGCAATTGGATAATTTTAGGGACCAAAAATGCCAGTTTGAATAACTAGCAGATGCTYAATGCTGGTTAGCCATCCCCCACTGGAACTTGCTGTTCTCCCTAAGCTTGGAAGTGCATGTGCAGCTGAAGATCTTGAGATGTTCARAAATACCAGCACTGCTTTTCTTGAGATAGGGTTTAAAAAAAACTCTTGAAAAAGCCAACTCAAACCTAGTGCGATTACAGGCTTTAGTTAGCCCGGTGCGGGATGGGAAGATGCTGCAATAGGGACAACAGGAGGAAACCCAAGGCACATGCTTGTAGCAGGGCTGTCCATGGGTTTCCCAAGATCTGGCTTGATGCAGAGGGAGAAATCAGGATCTGAGACAGCAGCACACAGCTCACTCCTGCTGAGGCAGGAGAGCCACTGCCTGTCCTGCCTCTCCAGTCACCCTGTCCTGCTCGGTGCTGGCCCAGGAGGGTGAGTAACACAGGTGACCCCTCGTGCCACCTTAAGWGGCCAGTTTGCTAATTCAGGGATGCGTCATGGAGATTACAGGGGAGGGTGGCAGGTTTCCTTAGAGCCAGCTAAGCGCTTTGTTAAATCATGTCTTAGGGGAGGAGAAAAGTAAAATGCATCCTGTAAGCCTTTGCTGCCTGCCAGGGCAGCCCCGCTTTTTAATTTGACGTGCCGTAATTAGTCTGGCCGCTGCAGGATCCTCGTCAGCTCCTGCGGGCTTGCCTGCTTCTGCCTGCTCTGTAATTGCTGCTTCAGGGGGAGAAAACTAAATAAATTAAAAAAATAAAAATATGAAGTGTTTTGTACAAATCCCAAGCCGTAAATTATTTAGCAGGTGAAACAGAAATGTGCTGTGTGTTTCCAGGAAGCGAGAGACTGCACCAAAAATGACGCGGCGCAGCTTGCGGCTCTACTGCGATGTGCCTTCTGCAGAGTCATGTTGTTGGGAGCYTTTTTCATTTTTTTTTCTCTTTCTGAATATATTCTTGTTGGCTGATAGCCCAGAATAGGTAGCAGAGCAAGAGCGAGGGATTGTGTAACACAGCCAAGTGATTTATGTGCTTGGCTCTGCAGCTGAGTAGCATTAGAGTCTCTGGTCTTTTTACCTTTAGTGTAGAAAATGTTTGAAAATTCAAGGTAATGCTGACTTGTTCCCTCTCTCCCTCCAAACTTAGCGTGTGGCTGTTTGAGAACATGTTTCCTGTTGCTTTGCATGCTGTGTGAGCCTTTTGTGATGCCTTTTGTTCTTGGTGACTTACCTTTGCTGCCATAGCTGACACTAAATCCGTGGACCAGAGGTCTTCTGGAAGAAGCAGAGATACTTCTTGGTAGATAGAGCTTCTCTTGGGTGTTGAGCAGCATCATTGCAAAGGAATTAAGGGAATAAAGCTTTGGGATTGGAAACCAGTAGAGATAATTTATAGCCATCATATGGCAAAGCCCAGCTGGTTTCAGTTCAGTGTCCTTTTACCTGTGTCTGATGCAATGAGGAGCTGAGTTACAGCAGAGTTCCTTGAAGAGTGTAAAAATAGCACCGGGTTTTCTCTCCTGTTACTAATGTAGCTGGTTTAGAGTGCATTCACATGTGGTTGCAGACTCAAAGCAGAACATCCCTTGCGGTCTCACCAAACCGAATGCTTGCACCGGGTCATAAAAAATCGTGGAAAGGCAGAGGAGCTGAGAAATAGTCCAGAAACAGCCGCTAGCCTGGATTTCATCCTGGTTTGTGTTACTCAGAAAGGTAACTATTTGRACAAGTGCAGATTAACAAATAGAGGAGGAAAGTTTTACAGGTCAGAGCTGCCATCTGCATGTGTTTTTTSTCTTGTCGGCAAGTGCCTGCCTCGTGCTGGGGCCTCTCAGCCTTGAAATGCAAAGCTGGTCTGAATTCTCCTGGGGTGGCCAGGTAGCACGTACTGCTGAAACACAATTAGCAGTATTTACCACCCTGGCAGGGTTGCAGTGTAAATGATGCTTAGTTTCACCGAGAAGTGTGGTGTCAAATTTAAGCAATTATAATCGTAGCTGGGGATGCGTCTGGAGAGCGTGCTGCCGCCTGCACCGGTTCCATTCCACTCCAACCTCGCTGAACTCCCTCCCCTGGGTGTGGTAACTTGTCTGTGGTCCCACAGCTCTGGGACRTGCCCTGTGATCCTACAAGGGGTCGCTTGTAGGAGAGGGCAGAGAGGGCACCAGTTGCACACTGTTGTTGGCTRATAGCTCCTGTTTCTTTTCCAGCTGCTCATGCTCCTTGGCACCGCTGATGGTCAGTCCAAGCTGACCTCTGAGCAGAATGCCATCAGCCTCTCCCCTGGCAAGTACCGCCACCTCGACCGTGCCACCAAYGAAGAGCTGACCTGTGACAAATGTCCTGCAGGAACCTACGTGTCTAAGCACTGTACAAAGAGTACCTTAAGAGAGTGCAGCCCTTGTCCAGAMGGGACCTTTACCAAGCATGAGAATGGCATAGAGCGGTGCCACCCTTGTAGGAAACCCTGCGAACTGCCAATGATCGAGAAAACTCATTGTACTGCCTTGACTGACCGCGAGTGCACTTGCCTGTCTGGTACRTTTCAGACGAACGATACCTGCGTCCCTTACACGGTGTGCCCGGTCGGCTGGGGCGTCCGCAAGAAAGGAACCGAGACCGAAGACGTCAGGTGCAAGCCGTGCCCTCGTGGTACCTTTTCTGATGTGCCTTCTAGTGTGATGAAGTGCAAACCCTACACTGACTGCTTTGGGAAAAACATGGTGGTCATCAAGCCAGGGACTAAGGAGAGTGACAACGTGTGTGGTTCCCCGGCGTCCCTTCCGAACACAGCTTTGACTTCATCGAGCACCGAAGCGGGCGAGCAGCCCTATGAAGTTCCACCAACCGCTGATCTTCCCAAAGGTAATGTCCATTCCTGAAACACAGGTGTGGCTTTGACTGAGGGATTGTGCTCCTGCCTCAGCCATGGTTGGTATTAGGCTGTTAAAAAGCAACCTGGTCTAAAGCCTGGTAGGTGCTTCTTCTTYTCAGCATGGGGTTGCCCTCACTTGTAATAAACCACATGTAATAACATTTTCACTGAGACTGCAGTCTTGATTGGACCTCTCACTGTTCTACTGTTGGGGCTGAAAGAGCATGACTACCCAGCCTCGTTTCCTGTGTCTGTGATGTGCTGGCACAAGTCTTTGTGCAGTTGTGGTGAACCTGSGTTGGGATGCAGCAGGAAAAACCCTGCTGCAGTCTCCCTGCAGCAGGGAGACTTCTCCTCTGATGGATTCACTGCTTTTGTGCCTGTGCTTTCCTTGCTGCGTTTCACTCTGCACTTTGTCAGAGTATTGCTTGAATGGGAACCATTGCTGAAACAGCCCTGYAGGAACCTGGGCTGTCCTGTAACTTTTTTCCTTCAGTCTCTAAAGATTTACAATCTTTGCCACTGGTGGGGAGAACCGTGTGGAATTCCCCCTTCTCTTTCATAATTGGAAGTGGTTCACCATCACAACCTTTATGGCGATGCCTTAGCTCTGGCTGGTTTCAGAGGTGCTGTAGGACTCCACTTGAGGTGGTATTCTGCACTCCCTGGAAAGCAGCTTCCCTACAGTGTCTCAAATGAAGCATTTTAATTAAAAAATGCAACTTTTTGAGCTGAGGCCTCAACACGTGATTTGGTAAATATAACAGCAAAGAAATGCTGACAGTGGTAGTGCTTCACCTCTGTTAGGTCTCAAAGCTTGCCCTGACATTAGTGTATCACTGGGAGTGTGCAGGAGGGTGTTTCCTGAACTTTGAAATCAWCTGTCGACAATTACGTAAAAGTTGAAGTGTTTTCCCTGTTTGTGTCCTGGTTAGAGTGTTTTGAGTAACCAAGTCAGGGGTAAAACCTGGTACAGATGAATACACCCACTGTCTCAGCTAGGATGAGACACAGTCGTCAAAAGATGGCTTTCCAAAATAATCCATAATTTTTGCTWCAACAGCCCTTCTTCCTGTTCTCACCAGGCTTTGGCTGGTATTTCTCATCTGGCTGGGACCTGTGAGGTGTTGTTTGATAAGGAAACTCGGTGAAGATGGAAGGGGGAAGTTTGGTTGCTTCAGCGACCTATTTTGTAGTTGATTCACCCRCAGCTGCTTGCAAGGCTGATAAAAAATGTTTGTGATTCCTTAACAAACCCAGTGGAGAGATACTAAGCCTGCAAATTGTCATGTATTTTTGTACCTCTAGCCCAAGTATGAAATGCCACAAATGAGCTAAAACCAATGTTTTTAAACCTAAGAAAGAAAAAACAACTTGCTCAAAGTTGTTGGTTTTCTGAGAAATGCTGCATGTGGGACCAACACAGACTGACAACATGCCCTTAATAACTAATTTTTTTGTAATAAGCTGCTGCTAGCCCTAGCCAGCAAGGGTCAGTTTTACCTTGAAGCTCCCTCTGTAACCGTACCCATCTGTTCCCAGAGGCAAACCTCAACTTCACCTCTACTCTTTCTCGCTGCCTGGCGTTGGRTTTCTGTCTGCTGGCCAAGCCGATGCTCAGGCAGGCCTTAGCCCGTGATGTGATGCCATATCGCATCTCCAGTGCCTTGACACTGAACTCTCCTCTCCTCCCGCAGGTCTGAACTCTTCAGTTCCTGATTTTGTCCCCTCTCCAGCGCCGCGCGCGTCCAGCAGCATGGTGGAGCGGGCACGGTACTACAACGAAACCTCAGCCAACGAGACGGACGGCGTCGGCRGGACCCTCGTGGGCACCGGCACCACCAGCCAGGCCCAGAGCTACCGGCACAAGCAGAGCAGCCAAGCGCTGGAGAAGCAGCCATCCCTGGAGATGATGGGGGGCGAGAAGCCCAGCGTCCCATACAGGCCCCCCCGGCGGGGCTCGCAGAACGTCCACCAGCACTTCGACATCAACGAGCACTTGCCGTGGATGATCGTCCTCTTCCTGCTGCTGGTCCTGGTGGTGATCGTCGTCTGCAGCGTCAGAAAGAGCTCACGGACTCTGAAGAAGGGACCCCGGCAAGATCCCAGTGCCATTGTGGARAAAGCTATTATGAAAAAATCCACCACCCCCACGCAGAACAGGGAGAAGTGGATCTATTACTGCAACGGGCACGGTGAGCAGTAGTGACCGTGTGGTGTCCTCCCCACTCCAGCCCAGGGCTGTGGAGGGGCTGCCCCCACAACCAGTAGCCAATGGCTTTCCTAATTTGATGGGTCTTGTGGTGAGGACAAGGCCCATCTCACGATTCCTCAGATGTTTCTTCATCCTTGGCTTCTCCTCGTTCCAGTTCCCATGGTCTGTCCCTGCTCCTGAAGGAAGGGCTAGTGCAGGGAGTGGCACCTGCTCAATTCTTCTCTCCTCACCCAGCTCCTCCAGCTTCTACCCTTCTTCCATTGGTAGAATGATTTTGAATGAARACACCTTT